TTTCAGCTCGACTCATGGCCACCACTCGAAACGCTGAAACGCCACCTAATTTCGTGCCCAAAACGCGCCAAAATCGAGCCCAAAAACTGCCTAACGTCCCTTCTGAAAGCCTAGAAAAACAATATAGTTTTGGACAAGGTTTTATAGTTTTCGACCAATGTTTATACCACTGTTTGTGCAATGCGACATAGAACCCCCCTCCTGTTGCTCCTGTTGCTGCTGCTGCTCATGGCCACCACTCGAAACGCTGAAACGCCACCTAATTTCGTGCCCAAAACGCTCCAAAATCGAGCCCAAAAAGTGCCTAACGTCCCTTCTGAAATCCTAGAAAAAAAAGAACTTTTGCCTGCCTTTGTGATGATAACCGTCTTGTCAAACACCTTCTATTTCCTCCTGCTGCTGCTGCTGCTCCTGCTCCTGTGACTCCTTCTGTTCAAAAGGCACCTGCCGGATGGGAAAACACCATGGCAGTAGTAGTAGTAGTAGTAGTAGTAGTAGCTTCCTCCCGAGGCTGAAAACGCACCCTCGATGACGGGGAAACGCAGTGTCCCTGAAGGACGGAACAGCGCCAAAATCGAGCCCAAAAAGTGCGGAACGTCCCTTCTGAAACAGGGAACCATAGGAAAAAAATATCTTTTGCGTGCCTTTGTGATAACCGTCCTGTCGCGTCCTGTCGCTTTGACGTCAGCTGCAACAGTTCGACTCATGGCCAGCACTCGAAACGCTGAAACGCCACCTAATGTCGTGCCCAAAACGCGCCAAAATCGAGCCCAAAAGGTGCCTAACGTCCCTTCTGAAACCCGAGAAAAACAATATAGTTTTGGACAAAGTTTCATAAAAACAACATAGTTTTGGACAAGGTTTTATATAGTTTTCGACCAATTTTTATACCACTGTTTGTACAATGAGACATAGAACCCCCCTCCTGTTGCTCCTGTTGCTGCTGCTGCTCATGGCCACCACTCGAAACGCTGAAACGCCACCTACTTTCGTGCCCAAAACGCTCCAAAATCGAGCCCAAAAAGTGCCTAACGTCCCTTCTGAAACCCTAGAAAAAAAAGAACTTTTGCCTGCCTTTGTGATAACCGTCTTGTCGCGTCCTGTCGCTTTCAGCTCGACTCATGGCCACCACTCGAAACGCTGAAACGCCACCTAATTTCGTGCCCAAAACGCGCCAAAATCGAGCCCAAAAACTGCCTAACGTCCCTTCTGAAACCCTAGAAAAACAATATAGTTTTTACCACTGTTTGTGCAATGAGACATAGAACCCCCCTCCTATTGCTCCTGTTGCTGCTGCTGCTCATGGCCACCACTCGAAACGCTGAAACGCCACCTAATTTCGTGCCCAAAACGCTCCAAAATCGAGCCCAAAAAGTGCCTAACGTCCCTTCTGAAATCCTAGAAAAATAACATTTTTCGAGAGGCAGGAGAACAATGTCGAAAAAAAGTATCCTAGAATCCTAGAAAAACAGCGTTTTTCGAGAGATCGAGAGATTCTGTTGCCAGCCGCAACTGGCAGTAAAACAGCTTCGAAAAAAGCTGAAATCGTAGAAAAGAAACCTTTTTGACGAGATTCTGTTGCTTGCAGCTGCTGGCAGTACTGCTGACAGTAGAATAACTTCGAAAAAAAGCAGCTGCCGGCAGGAAAACACCATGGCTCTGAAGAACGAGCGAGTGCCAAAACCACGTGAAAAAACTCCCTAACGTGTCGTCTGAAATCCTAGAAAAACAACCTTTTTCAAGACTGCTGGCAGTAGAACAGCTTCGAAAAAAAGCAGCTACTGGCAATAAAACAGCTTCGAAAAAAGCTGAAATCCTAGAAAAGAAACCTTTTTGACGAGATTCTGTTGCCTGCAGCTGCTGGCAGTACTGCTGACAGTAGAACAACTTCGAAAAAAAGCAGCTGCCGGCAGGAAAACACCATGGCTCTGAAGAACGAGCGAGTGCCAAAACCATGTGAAAAAACTCCCTAACGTGTCGTCTGAAATCCTAGAAAAACAACCTTTTTCAAGACTGCTGGCAGTAGAACAGCTTCGAAAAAAAGCAGCTGCCGGCAGGCAGGAGAACAGCTTCGAAAAAAGTAGCTGCCGGCATGAAAACACCATAGCTCTGAAGGACGAGCGAGTGCCAAAACCACGTTTAAAAACTCCCTAACGTGTCGTCTGAAATCCTAGAAAAACGTTTTTCGAGACTGCTGGCAGTAGAACAGCTTCTTCGAGAGATTCGGTTGCCTGCGGCTGCTTGCAATCAAACAGCTTCGACAAAATCACCTTCCGGCAGGAAAACACCATGGCTCTGCAGGACGAGCTAGTTCCAAAACCATGCGAAAAAACTGCCAAACGTCCCGTCTGCAATCCTAGAAAAACAACCTTTTTCGAGAGATTCTGTTGCCTGCAGCGGCTTGCCTTCGACAAAATCACCTTCCGGCAGGAAAACACCAAACGAAAACACCATGGCAGTGAAGGACGGAAAAGCATCAAAATGTTTCCTGCTGCTGCTGCTGCTCCTGCTGCTGCTGCTACTGCTGCTGCTCCTGCTCCTTTGATCCCTTCTGTTCAAAAGGCGGATGGGCCAGCACCATGGCAGTGAAAGGCGGAAAAGCATCAAAATTGCGCCCCAAAACTACCTAATGTAACTTCTGCAACCCACACAAAAAGACGTGTCTTCTGAAACCCTGCTGTTTCGAAGGAACAGATCAGAGCGGGAAGGGCAACCCAAGGAGCCCCACGTACCTCGAGGAGACTCCGGGAAGGACCCCCCACCGGTAAAACAAAAACCCCGGAGTCAATGAATCGACGTACGTGACCGGTGGGAGGGGGACCCAACAGGGTCCCCCGGCAAAGGGTCATTGTTTTTTGTTCTTGTTGTTGTTGTTGTTGTTCTTGTTGTTGTTGTTGTTGTTCTTGTTGTTGTTGTTGTTGTTGGCTGCTGCTGCGGCTGCTGCTGCTACGGCTGCTGCTGCTGCGGCAGCTGCTGCTGCTGTTACTGCTACTGCTGTTGCTCCCACTGCACAAATGCTGTTGCTCTTGCTGTTGCTGTTGCTCTTGCTGTTGCTCTTGCTGTTGCTCTTGCTGTTGCTCTTGCTGTTGCTCTTGCTCTTGCTGTTCCTGTTGCTATTGCTGTTGTTGTTGTTGTTCTTGTTGTTGTTGTTGTTGTCGTTGTTGTTGCCCGACGGGGAAAACATCATGACTCTGACGGACGACATAGGCAGGAAATCATTTGAGCTACTTTTTCTTTTTGCTGCTGCTGCTGCTGCTACTGCTGCTGCAAGCTTACTGCTACTGCTACTGTTGCTGCTAGACTCACTGCTGCTCTTGAAACAGACGCGAAACCAGCCGCGATTTCGTCCTGTTGCTGTTGTTGTCGTTGTTGTTGCCCGACGGGGAAAACAGCATGACTCTGACGGACGACATAGGCAGGAAATCATTTGAGCTACTTTTTCTTTTTTGCTGCTGCTGCTGCAACATCATGACTCTGACGGACGACATAGGCAGGAAATCATTTGAGTTACTTTTTCTTTTTGCTGCTGCTGCTGCTACTGCTGCTGCAAGCTTACTGCTACTGCTACTGTTGCTGCTAGACTCACTGCTGCTCTTGAAACAGACGCGAAACCAGCCGCGATTTCGTCCTGCTGCTGCTGCTGTTGCTGCTGCTGCTGCTGCTGCTCGTGCTCCTGCTACTCCTTCTGTTCAAACGGCAGCGCCCGGATAGGAAAACACCATGTCAGGACAAGACGAAAAAACATCAAAATTGCGCCCAAACACTCCCTCCGAGTAGGAGTAGTAGTGGTAGTGGTGGTGGGGGTGCTGGTAATAGTGGTACTAGTAGTAGTAGTAAACTCTTCTTCCCTAGCGCGCTCCCCCTTGCTGCCAGCCGGGGTCGGCGGATAATGATTTGTTCGTGATTTGGATTTATGAATTGGAAAATTGTTTTTTTGGATGTATGATTTTGTTTTGATTATTTTTTGATTTGTTTTTAGCTTATTTTGTCGATTTTGTTTATTTTTTTTCCGCCGACGTCGCCATAATAAATTCATACTATTTTTTCAAAAAAAACCTTTAAAAATCCATTTTTTTTTAAAAAAATATTACACACATTTATGTTTTTTTAATAAATTATTATTGACTGAAAATTTCATGATTTGTTTTTTGTGGAAAACAATGAAAAATCATACGTAACAATTTTCATTGAAAAATCATCAGCATTTATGAAAATTACATTATTGTTTTATTATTTTTTATGATTTTATTACGGCGATGTGGGAGGAAAACAATCTCAAAAAACACAAAAAATAAATAAAAAACATAAAATGAACCATATAAAATGTACCGTAAATACTTTTCGAAACCGTTTGTGGCCTTTTAACCGAACAAGGTCCGACAAAAAAAAAAGTTTTTACCCGACTTCTGCTGTTTTTTTGGGGGGCTGATTTTCCAAATAACTTGCGAACTCTACTTTCAGGGCTGTTCGGTTCTGTACCCTCCACCTAAGAACTTTTCCACCACAAAGCAGTTACCACCAGAGGAATTAGGAGACAGTTTGCGCTTCAGCAGGCGACTACAAAGAGCTCTAAGCCCGATGGGCCTGCTGCAGGGAAGACGCCTGCAGAAGTGACCCGGCCTTCAAGGCGGTATTTCTAGGACCTTGATTGCGGGCAGACGTTTTTGTTTCTTGCCGCCTACAGGGATATGTGATTAGATCCAATACTTTTTTTTGGGCTGTTAGGCCCCCACTCCATACTCGGGGCCGAACCAAAAGTTCGGACCGGTTTTCAAAGTCTTGCAACATGAAAGTTTTCATTGTTTTAGAATACAATGAGCAGTCAGGGTTCAAGCCTTTTTGATTCGTGGAACAATTTCAGCATTTATGGGGCAGGATCGGCAGCACCAAAGCGGGGCCCACAGGTCCACCTAAGAAATTTCCACCTAGAACATGTTTCCACACACTTTTAGCTTCAAGAGGCGATTGCGAAGAGTTCTATGGCTGATAAGCCCGCTGCAATGGAGACGCCTGCTGCAGCTAAGACGGCTCCAGAAGTGACATGACGCAAGGACGTCCGACGGTTTTTCTATGGCTTAGAGGGCAGACTTTTCCCACCTACAAAAACCGTAATTATTAGATCCAATACGTACGTATGTTTTTTTCGGGCTGTTAGGCCCCCACTCCTCAACGCATGGCCGAACCAAAAGTTCGGACCGGTTTTCAAAGTCTTGCAACATGAAAGTTTTCATTGTTTTAGAATACAATGAGCAGTCAGGGTTCAGGCCTTTTTGATTCGTGAAACAATTTCGGCTTATATCGGGCAGGGTCGGCAGCACCAAAGCGGGGCCCACAGGTCCACCCAAGACATTTCCACCTAGAAGATGTTTCCACCAAAGGACAAGGGTGCAACCATACACTTTTAGCTTCAAGTTGTGACTGCGAAGAGTTGTGATTGCCAAGAGACGCCTGCTGCAGTGGGTACGGCGCCAGAAGTCACACGGCGCAAGGGTGGCCCACGCGACATTTTTTAGAGCCTAGATTGGGGGCAGACTTTTTTCATTTACAGATAATCATGATTAGACTTATATACTGTAGACCCAATACTTTTTTGGGCTGTCAGGCCCCCACTCCTCTAAGCATGGCCGAACCAAAAGTTTGGACCGGTTGTGAAAATCTTGGAAGAAAATGGCATGCAATTGGGGTTGCATGCTCAAAGCATAGACAGGCGCCAGCTGAAGAAACAGCGGTTGGCAAGGAGCCAATCGAGGAATGCCAATATCCAGATGTGACTTGGCGCATGGTGCAAGGGTACCGGCAAGCCCCTAATCAAAAGTCAGTGGATATTGTTTCTCCGTGGCTTTCCACCAGATGTTGTCAATGGTTTTCCAAGTTTTCCATCATTTTGTCTGCAGTTTTCCAACAGCGGTTTTCCTTTGTTGTCCACCAATACTTTTCCGTTGTTTTCCACCAAAAGTTTTCCACCAGGGTGTGTCCATGGGTTTCCGCCCAAAATAATGTTGCATGATGTTCCACCGTTTTTTTCCGTGCCTTTGACAAGGTGTTTCCATGGTTTTCCACCAATGCTTTTCCATGGTTTTCCAGCGTAGTTTTCCAACAACTTCATTTCCGCAGTTTGCCAAGGAATTTGAATACCCTGAAGTGACTCGGCTCAGTGTGCAATTCCCTTCCACATAGAATTACACATAGGATTCCACATAAGTTTCCACCAAGATATGTTATATCACCAGTATCGCACGGCACAACAAGGGCCCACTTATGGTTGTTATAAATGGCTATAAAGAACACATAGCAGTCATTAATCCTCTGATACATATAGCCTCTGTGCCACCGTACTGCGCTTCACATTTTTGGTCTTTCCAGCAATTGTTTTGAAACATCTCGGTGTCCCGAGGGTCCTTTCCAAGTGAGTCTGGGCGATGAAGAAAGACGCCAGCAATTTCTAGCCAGGTAATTCCACCTATCGGAAAATTTTCACCAGAACGACGCCAAGCTGCCAGGATGTCCCACCCAGGAAACTCCACCTAGGATTTGGTTCCCAACACAAAGAAAAGGAAAGAATTGCCAGCCAGGATGCCCCACCCAGAAACTCCACCTAGGAAATTTCTCTGCAGAAAGAGGCAAGCCAGCAAATCCCTTAAATTCCAAAAAGGGAATTCCAAGAAGGAGCAGGAGCACTGCAAGGAACTTCCACCCAGGAAACTCCACCTAAGTAACTTGCAACCACACAACGGGAAACTAAGGAATTTCCACTCACAAAACTCCACCCAGGTAAGTCTTGCTGAGGAAGAAAAACTCCAGCACTTTCTAGCCAGGTAAGTCCACCTAGGCTATTTTTCCCCAAGACAAAGGAAAGCAAGGAATTGCCAGCCAGGATACCCCACCCAAGAAACTCCACCTAGGAAATTTCTCTGGAGAAAGAGGGAGGCCAGCAAATCCCTTAAATTCCAAAAAGGAATCAAAAAGGGAATTCCAAGAAGCAGCAGGAGCACTGCAAGGAACTTCCACCCAGGAAACTCCACCTAATTAACTTGCAGCCAGACAACGGGAAACTAAGGAATTTCCACTCACAAAAGTCCACCCAGGAAAGTCTTGCTGAGGAAGAAAGACTCCAGCAATTTCTAGCCAGGTAAGTCCACCTAGGCAATTTTTCCCCGAGACAAAGGAAAGCAAGGAATTGCCAGCCAGGATACCCCACCCAAGAAACCCCACCTAGGAAATTTCTCTGCAGAAAGAGGCAAGCCAGCAAATCCCTTAAATTCCAAAAAGGGAATTCCAAGAAGGAGCAGGAGCACTGCAAGGAACTTCCACCCAGGAAACTCCACCTAATTAACTTGCAACCACACAACGGGAAACTAAGGAATTTCCACTCACAAAACTCCACCCAGGTAAGTCTTGCTGAGGAAGAAAGATTCCAGCACTTTCTAGCCAGGTAAGTCCACCTAGGCAATTTTTCCCCAACACAAAGAAAAGGAAAGAATTGCCAGCCAGGATACCCCACCCAGAAACTCCACCTAGGAAATTTCTCTGCAGAAAGAGGGAGGCCAGCAAATCCCTTAAATTCCAAAAAGGAATCAAAAAGGGAATTCCAAGAAGCAGCAGGAGCACTGCAAGGAACTTCCACCCAGGAAACTCCACCTAAGTAACTTGCAACCAGACAACGGGAAACTAAGGAATTTCCACTCACAAAACCCCACCCAGGAAAGTCTTGCTGAGGAAGAAAGATTCCAGCACTTTCTAGCCAGGTAAGTCCACCTAGGCAATTTTTCCCCAACACAAAGAAAAGGAAAGAATTGCCAGCCAGGATGCCCCACCCAGAAACTCCACCTATTTCTGTGCAGAAAGAGGGAAGCCAGCAAATCCCTTAAATTATCTTAAATTCCGAAAAGGGAATTCCAAGAAGGAGCAGGAGCACTGCAAGGAACTTCCACCCAGGAAACTCCACCTAATTAACTTGCAACCAGACAACGGGAAACTAAGGAATTTCCACTCACAAAACTCCACCCAGGAAGTCTTGCTGTGGAAGAAAAATTCCAGCACTTTCTAGCCAGGTAAGTCCACCTAGGCAATTTTTCCCCAAGACAAAGGAAAGCAAGGAATTGCCAGCCAGGATACCCCACCCAAGAAACACCACCTAGGAAATTTCCCTGCAGAAAGAAGCAAGCCAGCAAACCCCTCAAATTCCAAAAAGGGAATTCCAAGAAGGAGCAGGAGCACTGCAAGGAACTTTTACCCAGGAAACTCCACCTAATTAACTTGCTACCAGACAACGGGAAACTAACTAAGGAATTTCCACTCACAAAACTCCACCCAGGTAAGTCTTGCTGAGGAAGAAAGATTCCAGCAATTTCTAGCCAGGTAAGTCCACCTAGGCAATTTTTCCCCCACACAAAGAAAAGGAAAGAATTGCCAGCCAGGATACCCCACCCAGAAACACCACCTAGGAAATTTCCCTGCAGAAAGAGGCAAGCCAGCAAACCCCTTAAATTCCAAAAAGGGAATTCCAAGAAGGAGCAGGAGCACTGCAAGGAACTTTTACCCAGGAAACTCCACCTAATTAACTTGCAACCAGACAACGGGAAACTAAGGAAGGAATTTCCACTCACAAAACTCCACCCAGGTAAGTCTTGCTGAGGAAGAAAGATTCCAGCAATTTCTAGCCAGGTAAGTCCACCTAGGCAATTTTTCCCAAGACAAAGGAAAGCAAGGAATTGCCAGCCAGGATACCCCACCCAAGAAACTCCACCTAGGAAATTTCTCTGCAGAAAGAGGGAAGCCAGCAAATCCCTTAAATTCCAAAAAAAGGAATTCCAAGAAGGAGCAGGAGCACTGCAAGGAACTTCAACCCAGGAAACTCCACCTAAGTAACTTGCAACCAGACAGCGGGGAACTAAGGAATTTCCACTCACAAAACTCCACCCAGGAAAGTCTTGCTGAGGAAGGAAGATTCCAGCAATTTCTAGCCAGGTAAGTCCACCTAGGCAATTTTTCCCCAACACAAAGAAAAGGAAAGAATTGCCAGCCAGGATACCCCACCCAGAAACTCCACCTAGGAAATTTCTCTGCAGAAAGAGGCAAGCCAGCAACTCCCTTAAATTCCACAAAAGGGAATTCCAAGAAGGAGCAGGAGCACTGCAAGGAACTTCCACCCAGGAAACTCCACCTAAGTAACTTGCAACCAGACAACGGGAAACTAAAGAATTTCCACTCACAAAACTCCACCCAGGTAAGTCTTGCTGAGGAAGAAAGACTCCAGCACTTTCTAGCCAGGTAAGTCCACCTAGGCTATTTTTCCCCAAGACAAAGGAAAGCAAGGAATTGCCAGCCAGGATACCCCACCCAAGAAACTCCACCTAGGAAATTTCTCTGCAGAAAGAGGGAAGCCAGCAAATCCCTTAAATTCCAAAAAAGGACTCCAAGAAGGAGCAGGAGCACTGCAAGGAACTTCAACCCAGGAAACTCCACCTAAGTAACTTGCAACCAGACAGCGGGGAACTAAGGAATTTCCACTCACAAAACTCCACCCAGGTAAGTCTTGCTGAGGAAGGAAGATTCCAGCAATTTCTAGCCAGGTAAGTCCACCTAGGCAATTTTTCCCCAAGACACAGGAAAGCAAGGAATTGCCAGCCAGGATACCCCACCCAAAAAATCCCACCGTTTTTTTTCCGCAGAAAGAGGGAAACAAGCAACTTCCACCACCACCCGTGAAATTCCACCTATGGAATTCATCTAGGAATTCCGCCCAAGAAGCAAGGAACTTCCACCCAGGAACTCCACCTAGGACATTTCTTGCAAGAAAGAGAGAAGCAAGCAATTTCTAGCCACGCGCTTCCACCCAGTTCGAATTTTTAATGAAAGGAATTTCCACCAAAGCCAAAATCGTATAGTACAGTACAACCTCAATACCATAAAAGACAGACTATTGACTAATGCGAAAGCATTTGCCAAGGATGTTTTCATTGATCAAGAACGAAAGCGAGGGGATCGAAACGGTGGACATTTGCCATTTGCACCAGGTACTGAACTGGTGGAGCGGTCGCCGGCAGCTCCTTTTTCCGTATATTTAAATAGTTAACTTCCGTATATTTAAGATGGTTGGCCGGGCCAGAGAAAACTTGCCCGGAGGTAGTATAAAATACCTATTGCGTTGTTTAAATATCCGTATATTTAAATGTAGGTACCGTACTATATATTTAATATATTTATATTATTTTATATTATATATTATATTGGATTATATTAGTAGAATTGAAGATTATTGAACCGTGGATCGAAAAATGGAGTTGCCGGAATTGGAGCTGTGGGCAAGCTTGAGGCTCCTGTGTAGCATTAGTTGTCCTGATGATTTTCAATGCTTAGCGATTCTATTCCTGGCTGGATGTGTTTGCAGCTGCAACACTATGAGTGCACCCTAAAGAGGCAGCAGAGGTCAGTCTAATCTGTAAAGCATACGATAAGATGATAGATGTATGAGTCTGAACATGTATTTGATATCATTTGTTCATCATTTGTTCATCATTTGTTCATCATTTGTTCATCTTATATCATCTTATTGTATAACATTTGTGCAGCCCCAAAATTCACTGGTGAATCATCTTTTCCCATTGGCCATGGGGATTTGCCGAGGTCACCATGCTGGCGAATCAAAACATGCTGATCGTCACGATGCAGGCGCCCGCCCTTTGTGTAACACGAGGAATGGAAGAAATGCAACGGTGATGGGAAAAAAGGAAAAAAATAAGGAAGATTCATCAATACATATCAATACATAATTTGGGTATGCTATTGTCAGACAAACCCAAATGTTTGAGTTTACTGGCGATTGGTGGGATCCATATTACTCTGTTTTTCTGTTTTTCTCCTGGATGCTTAGCATTCGTGGAAAAATGTGTTTGCCCTCTCTAATTTTGCCTGGCAATGGATAATCCCTTTGATTGTCGGGCCAGCCATCTGAAATTACCAGAGGGCACAGAAACAATTATCACATCATCACATCCCACGGTCTCTATGAACCCACTTTTTTGATCATTTTTTGAAAACCCAACAACTTTCACAATTCCGCTGCTGTCTCTCGATTTTCTTTTGGTGATTTTTGGTGTGTGTGTGTATGAGGCGGGAAGGAATGAACAGTTCCAAGTGACAGGAGCCTGGATATTTTTTTTCTGAGAGTGGGGTCCCCCAAATCTCATGTTTGATCACCGTTTCCCAGTAATTAAATATTGGTAGATATCTATCCATATTGGTTGGACACATACCCAAAAATTATAGCCTAGTGAATATCAACAAATTTCCTATATCATAGTTGGTTACATTTATATTTATATCTATCCCCATGTCTAATTCTGACACCTCTATTAAGTTTCCTCCATGCATCCATCCATCCATACATACATACATACATCCATCCATCCATCCATGCATGCATGCATGCATGCAGACAGACAGACAGACATACATACATACATAATATAGGTAGATCTCCATGGAAGCCGTTGTCCCTTTGGTTGATTAATTACTAGGGGTCACTCCCATTGAACAAGTTTTCGGATGTTTAGGTAAATGATGACAAGTGGATAAGTGGTAATATCAAACCAGGCCAAAAGAATGTTCTTGAATATAGTCCACAATCTTTCTGATGCTTCAATTCCCCACTTTCAATTTTCTTGAGCGGAACCAACACACTGGGGCCCTTCCAATCCGGGTTTCGTCTCTTTCAGGCCTGTCACCGTCACACCGGGTCGGTTCTGGCCATGTTGAGCAAGGCTGGAGTATTCTGGAGCACCAGGGTCAAGTAAATTGGGTGTACCCCAAATTGGTTTCTTCAAATTGGTTTGTAAAGACTGACTGAATGGGCCGAGATCATCCAACATCAGCAGGTTAATACTGCTTATATAAATTGCATGCTAGGATATACTAGGATATATAGATGGATATAGTAGGCCAAAATTGGCGTGTTGAGTACGTTGATGTTGAAGATTTTGGTTCGTATCACTACTTGCTATTTTTTTTCCTGGGTGAAACCGTTTTTTATGCATACCCCAGCTTCTCAGAATAAATTGGCTAGCGGCTAGCCAATTCACACCACTATTTGGAAGGTCTTCTGCCAGACATACGAAAGGTTGATTGATCACATATGTCTAAGAGATTCTAAGAGCAAGAAGTACGGGCTCCAAAAACCTGGCCTTTTAAACATCAACGAGTTTCAGGAGGCCGGATGTGGCCATAAACATCCCTGCCGAGGCTTGCAGCCGGTTGAACCTGTCCGACTTGGCCAGCGAGTGTGAGCAGGTGAGAACCATCATGCAGGAGCGATGGGATTCCGCTGCATTCCGCTGCATTCCATGCGTGCCAGAGCTTGAAGCTTTATGTTTTTGATTGTTTTTGTCTCCCTAAACCCTCCTGAAATCAGGGTTTCTGCTAAAGCTTGGTCACGGGATTCCACGTGCCAGAGGACACGGACACAATGTTTGCCACCTTGCGTGATTCTTCCACGGCTGACCTTTCACAGGCCATGACTGTGGGCTGCGTTGGTTGAGATATTTGGAGAGTCTCCCACTTGCAGGATCATTCCACTTAGAAACTGGTTGGTTGTTAGCTATAGACTATAGCACTCAGCTATAAGTATATACACATACACAACTTATTTATGTATGTATATGAGTGCATATGTATACAGGATAACCATGGATAACCCCATTCACTGCGATGATCCTCGACACTTTCCTTGGATGGAGACGATACCCTGATGTCACACATATGACATGTTTCTGAGTTCAAATATGGGTTTATTTGACTTCAGTTTCTCATCCTACCTGGAATGATGAGATCAAGTTGACAAAAAATGACATAAGTTGACATAAGTTGACTGACGATTTCAAGTTTTTGGATGTTCTTTGGACCCTGGGTGGTCCTCTCAAAGCAGATTCTTCTTGTGCATCTCAGCTCCAGCAGTCCAGCGGCAGGTTCTTGCAGATGTCAAGAAGTATGCTTCCGAGGTAGTGGAGGTGCCCTGATTCGGCACGGTTTCCCACTTTACGGCCATGTTTTTTCTGAGAGCATGGTGATAGAATGGGATAAACATGGATAAACCCTAGAATTGATTGGGGTTACAAATTTTGAGATAGGGCAATGTTTGCGTTTCTGCCACTGCAAGAACGATGTGGGAAAACTTGGAGATATGCCGTTTGGGAGATTTTGCAGATGGTGATGGGAAGCAACTGGTGCAGATCCTTCATGGGATTTACAGTATATGGTCCTTTAATTCGCCTTCTATGCTGACATTTCATGACAGCGACTTTTTTCTTTCCCGAACCAGGCCGAATCGCGAGAATTGCAATCAAGCCTCAAGCAGCGATCAGAGGACGGTGCTGGACAATTTGCTTGACACTCCATTCCCACATCATTCCTGCAGATAGGAAGTGAAGGAACACAACTATGCATGGTAAAACAGGGATACTGTGTGACACCATGCGTTCATAGTTTTTTTGAGTTCCATTTGTCTACAACGATTCCAAAAGATTTACCAGTTGGCCAGTCCTTCCCCAGGCTTCCCCCAGTTGTCAAAACTGATAGGCTGCGGAGCACCAGCTGAATGCCACTGGGCTGCAACAGTACATTGTACGTCATCCTTTTGGTGCCTTGAAGTGCTTCTAATCCACAAGAAATGTTGACGTGGAAACTTTAACACATGGGCTATGTCCGATCCAAAATTCATGTTCTTACAAACCCTGTTTTTGGGGTTCGGATTCGATCTTAGTTTTCAAGGTAGATCACTTCTTCCAACCATCCTTTTTCAGGTGTTGCCAAGTCAAGGTAGCTAGCCAAGCCGCGACCTCATTTTATCCCCATTGAATGGACATGTAATACATTTTGGGCCATTCCCCAGTTTGACACCTACGCAGATGTTAGTTTAGAATACATATTATTTAGCCGTATTTTTATATCTATACAGATACATCAGATCAGATCTGTGCCCCACATTCTGCAAATCCACCATTTTGCAAAGGCGCCCATTTGAGAAGCCTGCAACTATGGCCTCAAAAAATTAGCATGTTGCCAAATTAGATTGTGAATATCTAGAGAGATTAAGGTAAAAAATCTTAATTTCTGTACCAAAAAAAACAAAAATATACTTGGGGTACAGAAAACCCATCGCCGGAGTCGCTTGAGGAGCGTTTCAAGACCTTCAGCGACCGGCTCCTGGCAGATGCCGGGGCTGCAGGCCCGCTGTTGATCATTGGGAAGGACCAAAGTTCGACTGGCAAATGAAGTCACTCTTTATTTCGGGGTTACATAAGCATAAATAAATAAATATATAAATAAATAAATATATCTATATTATTATTATTATTATATATATACCATATATATAATATTATATATACATGCATGATATATAATATTATATATACATTCATTATATATAATACTATAAATACATGCATTATATTATATGTAATTATATAATATATAATATATAATATATGATATATTATATATTATATATTAAATATTATATACATAATATTTAATATAACATATATCATATAACATATATAATATATAATATATAATATATAATATTTAATATATAATATAACATCTATAATATAACTTATAAAATAACATATATAATATATAATATATAATATATAATATATAATATATAATATTATATATAACATATATAATATATAATATATAATATATAATATATAATATTTCATGTGTAATATAACATATATAATATAACATATATAATATATAAAATAAAATATACAATATAAAACATTATATATAATATATAATATCATAAATACGATATACAGTCACCGACAGAATTATGGGAAAAAAAAACGTTTCAATTTACAGGCGCCGCCTGTGTATGATAGAAAAGTTACGAACCTTTTTGTTTTTCCATAATTATTGTTTCCATATTGTTTTTTTTTCCATAATTCTGTCGGTGACTGTGTGTCCATCGATTCGCAATTTGAATGCATTTTAAGGGGGAATATTGAATTATAGAAAATATGTGTCTAAAGATCTGGTATATGCCCCTAAGTCTTCCATTGATATACATAATATCATGTGATGTTCGCAATTTGAATGCATTTTAAGGGGGAATATTGAATTATAGAAAATATGTGTCTAAAGATCTGGTATATGCCCCTAAAGCCTGCCATTGATATACATAATATCTGGAAAATTCGTTTTTCCAAGCCACCAATTGGGTTGATACTACATACTTGCATTTGCATACATATTTCCATAACCCCCAAAAAAAACGGGTTTGAATTGTGGATCCATGACATGTCCAACAGGTGGAGCCCCAAACATTAATTATGGAAAAAATAATTATGGAAAAACCGGTCAATCTGCCCTAGCCCCCTGATTTCACAGGAAAAATCAATTATGGAAATAATGGCCACCTCCAAGAATTATGGAAAAAAAAAAGGTTCGGATCACTTCCGGGATATTTTGAACCCTTATGGGGAAAAATCCAATTATGGAAAAATCGGACGCAGGCGCCGCCTGTCTAAGTTGAACGTTTTGTTTTTTTCCATAATTCTGTCGGTGACCATAATATAAAATATATAATATATAATATATTATTATATGATATATAAAATATAATATATAATATATAATATTTAATATATAATATATAATATATAATAGAATATATATAATATAATATATAATATTTAATTATAACATATAAGATATATTATATCATATAATATATAATATATAATATTTAATATATAATATATAATATTTAATACATATTATATAATATATAATATATAATATTTTATAATATATAATATATAATATATAATATATACTATATAATATATAATATATAATATTTTATAATATATAATATAATATATAATATATACTATATAATATATAATATATAATATATAATATATAACAAAGAATATATAATATATAATATATAATATTTAATATATATATATATTATAAAATCTATGTATACGCATGTATACCTAGTAGCCCCCAAACTAATCAGGCGTTAATTCTGGTTTATTCATTTTGGTTGACATCAGGAGAAATGACGTCTTTGCGTGTTCTTCTTTCAGGTTTATAAACTATTTTTATTGAATGGGTCTAGATATTTATACATCAAAAGTTCGTTAACACATTCCAAAATAGATGGGTAATGACCAGCTTTTTTGGGGGCCATTGATACCCTTAGTCCATTGTCCTCAAGGTGGTGCAACTCCGGAAGGTGGTCGCAAGGTGGGTCATGCGAGTTTGGAGCAGGTTTTTTTTGGACCGCTTGAAGTCATTTAGGGAATAATTAAGATGAAGGCAAACTCAAGAATACATTTAAGTTCTAGGTTCTTGGCGGAATGTGGGCCCAGTGGTGTTGGGGGGATGGGCCCAAGTTTTTTTTTTTTTAATGGGAAGATTATTGTCAAAACCCATGGGATGGAGATCGCAGCCCTGAGGTGGGCGAAGCTCAACTGTTGAAAAAGATGACCAACAGGACTGGGTCACCGACCTACTCGGGCGAGGTTTTTGTATGACAAGATGGGCTCCCCTATAGTTATGAGATGGTTTATATCCCCCAATAACTACAGTTATCCATAAATCCTAGCTATATAACATGTATAACCTACTCATAAACCAACTTAGCACACTATGGGGCCCCAACTTGCCCCATGCAGTGATCTGTGCTCCAGGATGACAGACTTCGAGAGTCAAGTCTCCTCGCAGATCCAGGCATAAAACGTGGCAAAGCACCAGTTTTCCCAAGGGTTTGGATCTTTTCAAGGCGGAAAGATGCCAAATCCATGCCAAATATCCACCCATTGTGCGTTTTCAGCAGTTTGATTCATCTGGTAAATATGTGTAAATATGAGATATTAAATTATATCATTTACATATAATGAATCGTGAATATCCATTCATAGCCATCAATTGTCCATTGAGCATCCATGCCATCTTTGCCCTTCCATGACCACCACCAGCCATGGTCAGGCCTTGTCGCATGATGTTGAGAAGAAGATCGCCTTCCTGGGAACCCAGTTGCATGGCAGCCATAGGGGTGACATGGGGAGCCCCTAGAGGCTGAAATCTCGTCATTTTTTTTTCGATGGGATGTAGCCTCCACAGGTGTAGTGTTTTTTTAAGGGTTTTTTTGATGATTAGATAGGTGTTGCCATTCATCAAGTTGCACTCAACCACAATTCTGGGTAAGTTTTTCAGGACTTCACTGGCCGTTCGTGGGCCGATACAAAAATATCATCAAAACGGCGAACTGCTCAGGCTTGGAAAAATCTACGATAAAGAGGTTGCACAGAAAGATTGATTTCATTCGGTTCTGGTGCGCTGCATCCTGACAGTTACCACTGTATCGGTGCTTGTCAATGGACCCCTTGGCATTATTTCCCTTCGTTTGTTTTTCAACTTGACTCTGACTCTGCAAATTATCCCTGAGTGCTTTGCCTCAAGAAAATCCCCAGGATGTCTAGGGTTTCCGGCCGGTCACATTCTATACTGTATCGCAAATCGGCACAAGATTTGGCCCAGAATTATCGTTGGGTCCCAGGCGAATGCCAGGTGGAGAAGCAGGCAAGTTGGATGTGGGTTGGATGTGGGTTGCTGCAAAAGTGGAGTGACCATCGTCGTCAGAATGCTGGTTCCAGTGTCCATATGTTTCCAAGAAAAAAATCGGATCCAATCATCCATTTGAGTAATTATAAATATTTATCAATATTTTAGATGTTTAAATGGTTTTAATATGTTTCAATTGATTTTATGTAAATACCCAGAGGTTTCAATTTGAGTATGGATGCAATTTGTCTGCTGATCCTTGGCAGCTCCTGGCGTGGATAGCCTCTCACACGAGTTGGATTCCGTGAAGTACGACATGGGTGAGCTAAAGGACCTGTGGGGTCTGTGGGCACCAAGATCTCCTTGACCTAGGACCTAGGGCCTATGATTAGTAAGGTCAATCACTCCAAACATTGTGGATATTGTTGGAGTTACAATTTGTCATTTACAGTTAGTTGACCAGATCTATGCATTTCATGAGTCTTCTTGATTTCTTAGTCTTCTTAGTGGTTTGTTTAAGCAATTTTCTCCCAAGGCAAAGTGACATAGAAAGGTGGAGCATCAACCATTTATAGATCATGTCATCATGTCCTTGGGAACAAAAATCATGACTTTCCCAGCACCTTGACCCAATTTACATGTCCATCACTTGGAGGTAAATCCGCCATTTCTGGGCAACATTGATTTATGATTATGTATGTCCCATAATATCACAGTCGTTTTCTTGATTATATCATGGTTGGTTTATATATTGTTTATATCATTTATATCTCTCCTCATTTTTGATGATGAAATGCCCTATTGGAATCTGATATGGATGATATGGACCTATGGAGGACGTGAACACCCCACCTCGATGCAGGACGTTCTGCAGAGTGCCAAGGCGGAAACGGCCCAAGTGAAGCGAATCGTCCTGTCCTGCGAGCGAGACATGGAGGCGCAGAAGGGCATGAAAAACACCCCCGAGAAATCACGGTCTAGGAAGGGAATTTACATTAACTTGTATAATTATATTACATGTTATTGCGTTGTTTGGGACCATTTATGGGATGTTTGATATTAGGGGATGGGATTAATCACAATCAACATTTCGATTCTGAGATGATTAGTGATTGACAACCATGTTTGAGTTCGATTTCACTGAACTGGCCATCCTTCCTGGTGTTTTGATGGTTGAGCCTGTGAGGTGTTTTGATCACTAGAATTTAGAAAATTTCCAGGATTCAGAAAACCTCTTCTATAGTATCTATAGTAGATTCACAGGCAGTTTCAAGAGGCAACTCTTCTACTGGTAGTGAATCACTGAATTTAGCGACGTCCAAAAAAAGATAGAAACAATATTTGGCACTATTTTAGTAGCATATAACGTGATATAACAGGTAGAAACCAATTTTATATGTGGGTCAAAAACCTACCATATTTTTGGGGGAATCTCCATCCATCATCCATAAACCATATGTAATCACCATAAACCATCTATGTTAGGGCACCACCAGGCTGTTGATTCGCCACGTCGTCCAGGACTTCACGGCGGCCATGGATGCGGTGAACGTCGACCTGGATGAGATGAGAGCGCGAGTGGACTCCACCCATTCGATCATCACTTCGCGGCAGAGAATTGAGGTGCCAGGGCCTGCCAGGGGATGCAGTGGCTAAGCCAGGGGAGCCTTTAGAAAACACCAAAAAACGGTTGCAACCAGCTGGGATTTTCATGAACTATCGAATTTTATTGGGTTTATGGGGTTTTAAACTATGACACATATGGGGAATATATATGAATATATGGAGATACAATTGATAGATGATGGTTGGTTGATGGTAAACAAAGGCTTATACTACCCGTTATACAATTTCGTTCTGGGGTTGGGACCGGAGATGACAATCCATGGGAATTCCGTCCTTAACCGACCCGGATTGACGAGGGTTTTGAACACTGTTCATTTGTTCTTGATCTTTGGAAAAGGTGGCAAACCAGCCTGGTTAGATCGATTAATTACATAGCGGGTGTCAGGAATTCTGTCTATGGAGGCAAAAGAAGCATGACAAGTTCCATGTCTACGTACCACGGCACTGCCGAACAATGAACGTCTCCTATGAACGAAGTTCGGTGCGACAGCCTTGTATGCCCAGTCATTTTATGTGTTAAATCCCATCATAAACTATCATCAACCTCCAGTTGTGGATGGTTTATGCCGCTCGTTTCCAGTCATTGGGTATGTTTGGTGTGTTTGCACTAGTGGTTTGCTGCTCAAATCCCTATCTTGCGCCTGTTTGTTGGTTACATCACCCAGGCCACCATTACGGCGGAGATCTCGACCATGCGACTGGACATGGGAGATATGCAGGCCTGAAACGCCGAAAGCGAACTTCACCTGGAACTTTACCATCCAGTGGTTAGAGTTAAAGAGCTATGAGTGTCGATATTCCGAGGTACTAAGAGTTTCCCGAGCACATGATAGTGTAGTACTTTATGTGTTTGCCATTTTGATGTGAACATATGAAACCTTCTTGAAGCTAACAGTCTCCAACCGGCAAAACGCATATTTCTTTTGGCAGAAATGTAAGATTGGCAGAATCATGGGTCCCATATAACAGCGCGCAGTATCCATAAGGATTGTTCTACTTCACAATCATCAACCAACAGGGTCATCAAGCATAAGAATGGGGTAAGCCGGGTAAGCCAGAAGTATCCACAAGTGGAATGCTACGACTGTAACCCCAGTTGAATTGGGATATAGGCTTTCAACATGGTGAGCCTTGAAAACCAGCACGAGATGCTACTGGAAAGATCATCATCAGTCATCTGTCTTAGTCATCGCTTTGTAGACAGAAGATTGGCAAGTGCGGTCGGGTTCCAAAGATGTTCGACGGTTGGTGGTTTAGAAGGTTGATGTTCTTTCATCGAGGATGAGTGACGCATCTTGACTGGACTTTCTCATGACGAATTTTAGTTGCTGTAATTATTCCGATCGTATGATTGGTTTGTGGTTCAATCGGTTCAATGCTTTTGTTTTCATCCCTTTAAATGACCCCAATTCTGTCCTATTACATAACCTCCAACCAGAGTTTATTTTTTCTCTTGAACCAAAAATCTGATTCTTAGGCTTTGGTGATGTTCTGGTTGGTGGTGTGAACCATTTTTCATTTTGCATCTTTGGTAGGATGATCCGAACTGATCCATTTTTTGGGGAATGTAGTAGCGAATATTACAATACATTACATATATCAGTATATCTATGATATATTATAAATAAACAAATAAATATCATATATTTGGATATATTTGGGACCTAACCACCAACCAGTGTTATATCCCCCAGTTTTGATGCCTATCAGGAAGCCTTAAAGGCGCACGACGCTTGGATGGAGGCCGGTGGCAGTTTCAAGGGACCTTTGCTATGCTGAATGTATAATTAGTATAGATTATGTGTGCATGTTTACCATTATATGTGTGTATGATCATGATTTAACATGTATATAATATAATAATAACAAGAATAATAATGATAAATAATAATAATAATAATAATATATATATATATATTGTAATTACTATTATGAACATCATAACTCCCCCATTATAATAAAACAGTTCTGTGACTGTATCTAGGATACCGACTGTAGCATCTGGGATGCTTGACGTCGGCTTGGGACCTGCTGCAGGACGTATCCCAGAGCCTGCAGGAGGCCCATGAACGCTGTCAGCAGCTTTCGGAGGTGCCCAGATGGAGATTTGGGTTGGTATATGGGCAATATATAAACCAACTATGATGTGGATATTGATTTGGATATTTTTAGATTATAATAGGACAATTCCAAAGCTATATTGATATTTGGGCTGATATGAAAAAGGGTGATTTACCCACAAGATATCTCCATTTTAGCAGGCAAATGGATGTTTTTAACCTTTTTGAGTATCCTATTTTCAGACGCACTCATTTCGATGTTTCCTAGAATTGCGGAATTCTAAAACTATCAGTTTCCCTACTACAAATAGACTTCAGACCGATTTGATTTAGGTCCATTGTGTCCCGAATTTCCAGAAACCACCGAAGAGGATGGAGTGCAGCTACAAATATGGGCAGTTTCACTTTAAAAAGACGCTCAAATTATGGTTGCCTTCTTGGCGGTCAGCTAAGTCAGCTAACAAGAAACTGAGGATATCAGCAGGAATAATGGGGATAGAAGCATTCCAGATGGGGATATCGACCTGCAAATGATGTGTGTTCACTGAGGGGTCATACTTTCACGTATGTCATGAACGTCTCGCAAGCAAGTCCCTTTTCACCTAGCAGTGCTCCGTAGAAGTTTTCTTTTCCCGTTGAGAACTCCTAGGAGGCGTATGTTTTGGTTGCCAATATCTCCAGTCAGCTTGCCAATGATCACATCCTTAGGATACTCTACTCTTTCTTTATGAACAAGGATTATATACACATTATTACACTCCCCCAAGTTAACATAGACCCTGCCGTAGTTGGGGGTTGGAAGATTACTTTCCACTAAAGCACGTCTGCTTTCAGGGTCTATGTTGATTTGGTGGAGGGTAAATGACCGTGCGGACATTTCAAACAGAACATCAATGTGGTAAAATTGTTGGCACGTGTGTTGTCAATCACTGAAGTGTCACATGTGGACAAACAGTAATGTGGTAAACCCAATGACAACCCCCAAGTTCTCATGGTCAGTATCCAACCATTTCTGGTGATATGGGGGGTGACTTTATGGGTTTACCACATTTGTTTCCCAAAAACAATCTCTCTGCCTTTGCAGCTCATCGGCAGGACATCGTTGTGCATGCACAGCAAACGCAGGCAGCGTTGCGCAACATGGATTAATTCTGATTATCCCATTTCAAGTTATCCCAGCAAATATCCCATTAATGATGGATGGATATTTAATGGGATAAGGTACTTTGAAGATCCATTTGCACCTTGTGTGTCCTTGTCTGAAAAAGGCAGAATTTGGAGACTATCCAGTACTTTCACCTCAATGACTTTCGCAGCTTTTTCTTTGGCACACATATATTTATACATATGGAGGTTTCCTGAAATAGGAGCACCCGCAAATCATCCATTTTAATAGATGTTCAGTTGTAAACCATCCATTGCGGGGTACCCCCATTTTAGGAAACCCCTGAGCAGAGGGATCCCCTACATCGGTGTAAAGCAGGCGAAACTGGATGCGAAGACAGACCTCACTGCCTGGAATGATATGAAACTTGGCAAGAAAACTATTGTCTGTGCAAAACCCACAAGGCGTTGTCTTGGAATAGGATACCCAACAAAAATCCTATTGTCTGTCCTGTCATCATTTTCCCATGAAAATCTGTTTTTTTGTGGTATTTGTCCTGGGCAACAAGGCACTCAAGGGCGAGACATGTTCACATTTGTGCCAGAATTGCTAGTGCGAGACTGTATTTGAGTGGTGCCATGCTTTGACTCTGTTGAAGCGGAATGTTGGAGCAGCAGCAGCCAGAACATGTTTCGCATGGTACCGTCGGGTTGTATGGCTGTAGAATTAGTCAACTTCGGTTTTGAATCATCCAGTCTCTGGGCCATCATGGCCATATCAGTTCTGTATCTGACATCCCCGGTATGGTTGGTTTATATAATCTGTTATCATCTGTTATACAATCCAATATCCCCATGGTTGGGATGGTCCCCTGTCAATCCTGGATTAGTGGTCACCTCTGGGCTGTTCCAGGGTCTGCCCCACAGGAATGATGACATTGATGCTTCTGTGAAGACAGCGCCCAGCTCAGCCTTGTGTTTTGGTCGAAAAATATACACTCACTCAGCTATGTATGGCCCAAACTAAGAGATTCCATAGAGATTCCATAGATCCTACACCCTACTTGTGTCTTCCCCGCACGTGAGGTCCGAGACATGGCCAGCGCGCTACGCTTGGAGGTGGACTCGCGACGGCGGAAGGTCGACGAGGCGACAGCTGGTGTCCCAGCTGTAAATGGTGGTGAATAACGATGGTTACCCTCTGGTAAACTAACATAACTATGGAAAATCACCATTTTTAATGGGAAAATCCACTATAAATGGCCATTTTCAATAGCTATGTTAAATTACCAGAGGGTAATAAGGATGGTTACCCTCTGGTAAATTAACAGTTGGACCCTGAAAATAGCCTAGTTTCAATGGAAACTAATCTTCCAACCCCGATGACTGGCAGGGTCTATGTTAATTTACTGATGGTTAATAATTAATAACGATGGTTAATAATGATGGGATATGATATACCATGATATACCCATTAGAATGGTAAATATACCGGTAATCATGGGACATATAACATTAATGGGATGTTTAATATTGATAATAATCTGGTTGGTGGTTTGGAACATGAATTTTATGACTTTCCATTGGGAATTTCATCATCCCAACTGACGAACTCATATTTTTCAGAGGGGTAGGTATACCACCAACCAGATGGTGGTTTTAGAAACCATGGTTCTATAAATGGTGTCATTCTATGAATGGTTATATAAGTGGTGGTTATATCATGTTATATCTATAAATGAATTATAAATGGATATTTACCTGGATTGAACTACGCTCTGGTAATTTAACATAGCTATTGAAAATGACCATTTATAGTGGATTTTCCTATGAAAAATGGTGATTTTCCATAGCTATGTTAAATTACCAGAGGGTAAATGGTGCTTTTTCTCCAGCTATAAATGGTGTTTTTTTTCCCAGCTATCATGGGAAACATATGGAGCTAAATGGAACAGATAAACTAATGGAGGTTTATGGAGCTTGTTATGGGAAACATATGGAAACATATGAAAAACCAGGAGAAATGCTGGGAGAATGAGATGATCCTCGAACTAGCCATGGAAGTTTGTGGGATATATGGAAAAAACATCGATAAATCATCTATAATGGGACCATCATCGAATTATGGTGGATGTTAGCATCTGTAATGGCACTTTTTTTACTGGAAATTTCTGGGAAATTCGCGAACTACATGCTGGTGGATGGCCAGAGAGTATGTGGAATATCCCCCAGCTGGATTCGGTCAATGGGTTATGGTCCATAACCGTTATGGACAAGAACAACACGACTTTTTAGCTGGGATGCACATCCAAGCATAAAGTGTCCTTAGCCGGTCATCTATATATTGGTTTATACAGCCAATGTGTGGTTATGAGTTTGTTACCCAAACAAATACGGAAACAATCCAAAATCTATATAATGGTGAGAACGTCCTTTTCCCATTAATCAACATGGGGATCAGCAAAACATGAAATCTAGCAATCTATTTTGGTGGGACGAAGATATAGTAGAGCCATGAAAATGTCTAACGCTCATATAACTAGTAAACCCCCAAAAAGATAGAAGAAACCTGAAGTAATTTACTATCTTTTTAAGGGACTTGGCTTTATCCATCTTTATCCCAGTATCCGTTGATAGCAACAGCCACCCATCGGGACCAGCTTGTCTTGGAGGCCTTATCCACCTTTCGTAGCGACTTAAAGAGGTTGGATGAGAAGGCCATGATTGGGATCAGGGGATTTACTCGGCAATTTTTCACGTAGCTATGGGAAAAAACACCAGTCTCAATGGCTTTTATTTGGCTAAACAATCATGATAGGTTTCATAAGTCATTTATAAATGGGCCATTTTCCATAGCAATGTTGAATAATCAGAGAGCAACCAACAAAACACGAGGACGTTATTGGGAGATAACTGATAATTCTGGTGATCTCTTGCAGTTTGCGAAGTGGAACATCACCAGGAAATGTATAGGTAAATTATTCATCGAACGTTGGCCATGGCTTCAGTAGCTATGTTCAACTACAGGAGGGTACCATCAAGTAATTTTTCACCTAGATATGGGCTTGACATAAATTGATGGGAAATTCACCGCTTTGGAACATGTGATTTTTTTCAACATTAGGTCGGTGTTACATATCTGAAGAACTTAGTGGTATATGCCAATCCCGTACGTCTATTGAGTCTATTGTATGCGTGGTTAAATCTATGGACATAAATTTGGTAGTTCTTCCAAGATGGGAGTACTTAACATGCCCTTGCCTTACATTTGGGTGATTTATGGGGGAGGTTATGGGGGTAAATGTACATAGGTTTACGAAGAACTTACCATAGATGCACCATCATGCCAGTGGGTAGAGACGGCCGCGGGTCAATGGAGTCTTAGTTTCAAGGTCTTGGATGCTGTTTGGCGACATGGCGACATGGCTATTGGCCAAGGTTTAAACCAACCAAGCCACAAGTTGTTGTCATTTTGAGTGGCCATCCGAGACTTTTGAGTGTCCAATGACTTGACCCAATAGCCACTGTCAGCGGCTTCCGCTCCCCTGATCACTGTTTTTCTTCCATGTTCTTTCCCGGTTGGTTCGAAGGAGTGCTTTATGCATTGGGTCAAACTTCGTTCCAATGAATCCAACCATCCAAGTTTCTCAGCGTATTGAGCCATCTATTCCTAGGGCCATCATAGCCATATCCGTTATATATCCCATTGTATTATCGTGGTTGGGATAGCACCTTAGCAACCCTCAAACACATCGAAACATATCGAAAAATAAAACCCCACGAAGATATTGAAGATGCATATACATACACATATTTATATATATATATATTATATTATTACCATTATATATACGTAATATAATGGTAATTTCCTTTTATCCTTTTGGGTTTCCATCAACATCTCCATTTGGTTGATGGTCACCTCAAGCAACAAATCCCACACAGCCTCTGCTGGGCAGCTCAGCTCCGAGGCCGACTCTCAAGTGGCCGAAATTCAGCGAGCCGCAGAAGAGTCGATGGCAGTGCTGATGCCCAGCATTTGTTGAGCATTCCATGAAATCCTGGTTGGTTCATAGGGCTTCCCTATTGGATTATTATAATGCCCCATATATATCCATATATATATATATATGTATATATATATATATCCATATATTATCATATATTGGGTCATATAATCCTCTATAATCATCTATAATCCCCCATAGATTGGGTAGTATAATCCCCGAACTAATCATCAACCAACAGGGGTTTAGCAGCCACTGCTCAGATAGTAGGTGAAGATGTTTCAACATAGGCCGCCCCCCCAAAAAAACAGAAAACTCTTCGTTTAAATATACTTCTTGATGCCGAAACCATATAATTATTAAGATTGCCACCAAAAAACATGATGATCAACATATTCCAGTATGGGTTAAGGGAAGATCTGCAGGAAACCCCATTATGTAAGGCTAGAAACCATGGTTTCCGGCTAAGATTTTCCCTTAAACCAATCCATTGAACACTATGTTTTTCGCGCATCATTTTTGGCCTCTGCTCGGGTCTGAGTCAATTTGAATTTGAACCCCAAATTGATGCACTGGCCATTTTGACAGTCGTGGGGCACTGGCTGGGAAATCCCTGTACAACTGGAGGTTTGAATAGGAAAATCATCTATATTTAATTGGGGAATGTCATGTTTGACTATTGGAGTGTATTGTCACTGCTGTATGGGATTGTTTGCTGAAAAGGATTGTTTTCAATGAAAGCCACGGCCACTCTTACTGCAACGCTTGCCTTGAGATGGTACTGGTACAGATTCTGCGAAGTAGCCACCTGATTCAAGGTCTACCAGGCTACCAGTGCTTACTCATGTTCCAGGTTCACCAGTGAGATTTTCATCAGGACCTGTCAGTGAAGTATGTTTTTTTGTTTTCACCCATCAGTTGCCAGTGGTTCTGGTGGTGAAGGCTGTGAACCAGCGCTTGGAGGACAGCGTGGACAGCCATCTTGCGCCACCTTGTGGGAAATGGCCGCTATGAGATAGCTATTAAACATCGTGAATCAATGGCATATGAATGGACTATCAATGGATATTAGTGGATATTAGTGGATATTAGTGGATATTAGTGGATATTAGTGGATATTAGTGGATATTAGTGGATATTAGTGGATATTAGTGGATATTAGTGGATATTAATGAACATGAATCAATATTAGTGGGTATTAATGGGATATGAATGGGATATTGATGACGATATGGCGGGACATATAACCAACTAATGGACTTTTTTTTGGCTTTGGTCCGATCCCAAAATGGCGTGGCCGTCATGGGGAAAGCACTGTTCTTGTCACCATTATCGTTATTCGTGTTACAATCATGATACATAATATGTATTATATGTATTATATGTATATTATATTTCATGATATTCCATTACCATTTATTACTCTTGTCATGAGTGTCATCTTACACACAATTCAATAGACATAGATGTGTAGTATATATATATATATCTAAATATCTAGGAGCCTCTCTCTGAGCAACCTACAGTACCTACCAAGCTAAGAAATCTATCGATCAATCCATCTATCTCTCTATCTGTGTACCTACCTGCACCTCTCTGTCTACCTGTCCGTCCACCTGTCCCCCTACCTGTCTGTGTAGATGTCTGGATACCTGCCGGTCTATCTGTTTATGTCAGGCTTCCCAATCTATTTGACCTTTCTACCTGTCTATCTGTCTTTCTATCTGAACTTTACCTGTAGCAGGTAATTCGTATGTAGTGGTTTGTCCATCTCCACCTTCAAATGTGGATCCCATGCAAAACCACTTTCCACTCTACTTTATTGACCCCTCAAGAACCTGAACCTTTGAAATCACACAAATCGTGGTTCCATTCAGGCACCATGTCTGAGCCTTGTAAAGGCAGTAACATTGCCAAATGGAGCCCCGAAATGAATAGATGCACCATTAGACCGGGGTTTCTGCAGGGGTGTTTGTTGATAAAGGGAACGGAATTTACATCCACAGCACCTCAAGCTACGTATAATTTCCAATGACCATGGCAGGAGCGTTCACAGCACTCCCGGGACTTGGAAGCAACGTTGAGTCAGACATCTCAGGAACCATAGCAGCCATAGCATACAGCGATGGTGAGTTGATGCGTGCACATCTTGGAAATGTCGCTCCTTTTGCGTGTGTGTGTGTGCGTATATAATCGTATAATATATATATAATGATATTTTTTTAAACAAATTATTATTATTAAAATTATTTATTATTATTAATACTATTAATTATTATATGTTATCCACATATATATATATATATATGTACATATATATATAACATAGTATAATACATATATATATATATATCCAATATTCTCCAACTAAAGCACTGACCGTGGAACTTTCTTGACATTGTTGAAGAATCAGTGATTGAAATTCCGCGTCCAGCTGCAGCTCTGTTCCAAGATCGCCACGCGGATGCGCATGCCAGCATGAACGCGAAGGCAAGGGGAGATTGGAAAGCCATCCTCAAACCAAGTGGCTACTGTAGGGTCTATCGCAAATCCCCTAAATGGAACATGTCCTTTGGTAAACTAACAGTTGAAAATGGCCCATTTATAGTTGATTTACCCATTAAACATGTTGAATTTCCATAGTTATGTTAGTTTAACAGAGGGTAAATGGTGGATCTTCCAGCAAACAATGTTTCATCAAATGGGCCATGAGCTTTATCACATGGCAGGTCGACGCGAATCTGCAAGAGGTGCAAAATCGAATCAGTGACTCGGCAGCCCGGACGGGAGGTTACACACATTGGGTGTGTCTAGAAATTGGAGAAAATTGGGGAATATCCCTAATATTGCTGTTTGAAAAGAGAAAGCGATAGATAAAACTGATGGATTTAGGGGTATATAATTGCACTATTTTCAGAGAAACCATGTTATTGTAAGACTGATGATCCAAAACTGCACCTGACTAGTGACCCAAGATGCGAGTTTAGCTTGTAGCTATCATGCCTCTGCTGAAAGCTGCAGATACAAATGACGGTCAAGGTCTGTGGTAACCGTCAAGATGTTTTTTGGGTTGGTACTACTATGGAAAATCAATGTTTCGCTGGCAACAATCATATAGATAATATATATACCCTCTGGTAATTTAACATAGCTATAGAAAATCACCATTATTCATGGGTAAATCCACTATAAATGGTCATTTTCAATAGCTACGTTAAATTACCAGAGGGTACATATATATATATATATACATATATTGTGAATGTATATATTTAGTATTATTTAATACATAAGAAGTGACCCTTTTTGTGACCCTAAATGATCACATTTTTGGGGACCCCTGAAAACCGCCGATCCCCAGGTTCGCAAGTAGTCTTTCCACCTCCAACCCATAGCAGGGTCTGTGGTGGTCGGATCCCTATCCCATTATTCTTCAGAACATCGCATCATTGTTCGATGAGGTTTCCCACCATTATCCCTTCTTTCACTACTTCCATAAAGTTCGGAATTTCTGAAATTAATGGGTACCCAAACTATCTCCCATGGTTGTATCCATTCATTGGGATCACCCCTACAACTGAATTCATGGGCTCAGCCACCGGCCACAGCAATAATCTCCATAGCTTAGGATACAACCCCTACAACTCTAGTTGCATAATCTTAAACCACTCATAACTGGAACATCAACTCTGACCCGAGCATAGAGCTCATCGGCAGCACCAGTGCAAAAAAAACTCATAACTGGAACAACAATTCCAACTGGGAATCCACCAAAAAGTGGATTATTCGGATTCTTTCAACTGAGATCCAATAATATCCACTGGATAATGCAAGTGATATCCACTAATAATCCACTGATAATCCGATTAAAGGTGGATATATTCCAATGATATCTTGCCACTAATTACAACTGGCTTGTTACTGTGATACCCAGGCCATGTGGAGGCAACACTCTCGAAGCAGGTGCAGGGCGGGGGCGGTGGCGCTTTGGGCGGTAGGTGGCTTTTTTTATTGGGGAATTTAGACATCAAAAATTAACATTATACAGTATATAACTGGTTGGTGGTTTCAAACATTTTTTATTTACCAAAATACATGGGATAATCCTTCCCATTGATTAATATTTTTCAGAGGGGTTGAAACCACCAACCAGATAATGTGGTTGTCCGACCTGCATACATATATGTAGATATAATTATATATGTATATATACATAATCAATATTATGTATATATATATATACCCAAATTTTGCATATGTATATAGATGCACTCATCGGCGGATAGATATAGATATGGATTTTATACATTGCGAACCATTTTAATTTGGATATAGTATTGTTAGGATATGATATGAACAAGGTGGGGGATTCACCCTCCATGCCCTGGAAAGGGCCCAGTTGGACGATTTAGCTATTGAGAATGGTGATTTTCCATAGCTCCATAGCTATGTTAAATCACCAGAGGGTAGAATCCAATCCTGTGGGGGCCTCTCATTTTGAGTCATACGCAGTAGATTTGGCCTGTGATGCCGCAAATCTCGTCATGCAGCAATGTGTGCTTTCGCGGAATGATGTAGCTAGATCCTCAGTTTACTCATAAACATCTAGGTCAGTGTATCAAACATGTTGTGTAAAGATAGACATTTTCTTGTGGCTTTCAACTGATCTACAGGTACAAATTGAAATTGACGCAAGCAAAGCCCCAAATTGCAGGATTTCAACTCCTGAAAAAGGATCGTGAACCCCTTGGTTTCCCGGCCCTTGGTTTCCCAGGATGAAGATCTCCACAAAGAGGCGAACGATCGCATTGAAAATCTGGAACGACACCATTCCAACATTTCGAAGGACGACTGGGCCATGGCACTCAGATCCTTGGAGACAGGATGGAGTCTTCGCAATGCTTGCAATGTAGACTGTCCCAACATTGGTTTAAGGGAAAATCTACAGCAAACCCTTATATTTCGGGGTCAAAACACATTAAACACAATGTTGCCTGTAGATTTTCCCATTAATCAATCCAGTGACAGTTTAGACACCCACAGGAGACTGCCAAGAGATTGAATGCCCTGGATTTGCGGATCGCTGGGCTTCAAGGCATTGGAAAATCCATGTTGGGATTTGCTGGGCGTAAATCAGTGGCAAAGCAGGTTTGGTTCAACCGTTTCACCCCACGTGTTCTCTATTTGGGGTTGTTTCAAAATCGGGGGGATACCCCAAAAATCTCAATTTTTTGATGGACAGTCATAAACACATCATGTAAAACCAGGGGATGGACTCATGGAAAATTCCCAAGGAGACAAGCCACATGACCCAACCTGGATAGGAGCCAGTGGTGAGTCCAAGCGTGACATCGGCAAGCTGAGAGATGAGGTCCAAGTCATGGGAGGGAAGACTATTGATGATTATTGGGGAATCAAGAATTTGACTAGGAATGTGATTATTGATTGATAACCAATAATCTATCATCTATGATCCAAGTCATTTGATTCATGGAAGATTGATCATTAGAATCAAGATATTATGATCTTCCTATCATTTCCAACTATTATGTTCTTCATGAATCAGATGATCTAGATAATAACTTATAACTAGTTATGATTCCATGAGTCAGAAATCCCTACCAGCAGAACCATGGCAGAACCAAACCCAACCATTAGGAGTCATTAGGAAACTGCTCAGTTCCTGTAGTCCATTTCGGGATTCAAAAACACATATGTATATTTTTAGGGGATTCATGATTTCCCATGACATATTATATTTCTAGTATATGATATTATATGTATATATGTATTACAATATAGATACATAATATAATTACACAGATTATATATATAATATATATAATATTATATATATATCATATATATATTATATATTATATTATATTATATATATCATATTATATATATTATATTATATATATTATATATAATATAATATAATATGATATAATATAATATAATATAATATATATATGATATATAATATATATATATATTTAGTATATGATATATATAATATATGATATATATAATATATGATATATATAATATATAATATATATATAATATATAATATATAATATATATATAATATAATATAATATATATAATATAATATAATATATATAATATATATATGATATATATATATAATATATATATAATATATAATATATAATATATATATAATATATGTAATATATAATATATGTAATATATAATATAATATATATAATATATATAATATATATAATATATATAATATATAATATTATAATATATATAATATATATATATACATGTGATATCAAAAAAAATATAATATTTTATTTTATATAATATATAAAATTTTCAAAACATATCATATAATATAACTAGATTATCCATAATACATATTATATGATATAAGAATATAAAACTGTTATTATTATATATATTATAATTATATGTATATATTTCATAATATTATATATATACACATTACGTTATTGTAGGTTGGTTGGGTAGGGTCTCGCTGTAGTTTGAAACATGTCATTGCTCTGAGCGCCATTTAGGTGAATTATTGCTTGGTACCAATGCGCAGACTAGCTAAGAGTAGCTAAGAGGCTATTCGGTACGACTTCTGCGATTCCTCCTGGAAAAACGATGTTGCGAGTGCTATTTCGTTCAGCCAATGCTTTGAATTTCAGATCTGACTCACAAATCTCCCTTTGGGACTGGTTAGTTGGGGAAAAACAGAAGGCTCCCCCTGTTTATCCACTTTTCTTCACAATTCATTCTGGGTAAATTGTGTGGCACACCAGCTCCCAAAGGACATTGTATTTGCTTGATGGGTTTCACTATGTTTCAATGCATCCCGATGGAATCTTACTAGGGATGACTAGGACATGTCGGACAATTTATCCGATTAACTGTTATAGCTGGTCCCAGTTGACTAACTTTTTGTGTCTTTTGAGGATATCTCCTATGTTTAAATTGGTCCGACATTACCAAATTTGAACAGGTGAACTCTTTGACGGTGAAGAGTGCAGCTCATGATGTGGACATCGGAAAGCAGCCCGACAAGAAGATCAAGGGCACTTGGGGTGCGTCCCAAGTAGTATATGATACGTAGTTAAGATCCCACATATATATATGTGATATATCCTGTATATATATAAGTGGGGTAACGGGTAACCCCACAGATAACTCTGTCATAATATTGTCTTTTTGGGTCATTCTGAAAGGCGGATGGTTGTTGACTAGCGGGTCAAAGTGCTACCATTTCGAAGGGGTGAAGGACGGTGAAGGGGTTGATCACTCTATGGACATGTGGATAATGAACATGAAATAACATGAACAGATGGTTATTAGAGTGGAGCACTTAGCAATACAGAAACACACCAGGGTGAACTCTGTAGGTGCCTGTATTCGCATCACCAGTATACCACTGTGCATGTCACTTGGATTCTCCTAATGGCACCCTGTGGTAATCTAATCTAACTAGGCAATGGAAAAGGATCCATTTGCAATTTCCTACATTTTTTCCGCATAAGAACAACTATACAGTAGAAGAGAATATGACACATTGATATGTCCTAGCCAAGTTAGTTGGATTTTCTATCATTTCCATAGATGTTCCATGGATTTTCCATAGATTTATTTCCACCATTTTTCTGGCGTTTCCCCGGCATCTCTGTGAGTTTGCGCATTCCACGTCGCCCAGGAACAGTGACGACCTGCGGAAAGCTGAGAGGCAGCGGCTAGAGGCCAGGGGAAAAAAATGTATAAAAGATTGATCCTAATTACTAAGAATATTTCTAAACTCATATTATAGCAGTATAACAACTCAAAAATTATTCAAACAAAAACCATAACAACCAACCACAATTACCTCATTCATTCCTAAAAATCATCACTACCTACCATCAATCACCTCATTCATTCCACAAAATCATCACTACATACCATATCATCATCTCATTCATTCCTCATAAATCATAACTACTAACTATCTATTACCTCATCCATTTCACAAAAACATAGCAGTCAATACATCATCACCTCATCCATTCCATACCCAAAACCAAACAACAACCCAACAAACAAAAAAACAAACAAAGCAAAGAACCATATAAAGAACAAAGCAACAAACAAAAGGGGATGATATAAAGATACAAAGGCGGCATACCAAACTGGGAAATAACGAGTTAAAGAGGCAATTTGCCACAAACGATCGGTGAGCAGCTGGTACAGAAGCCACAGAGCTGTTCAGCACAGAGTTTCACCCAAATGAAGCAACGCCAAAAAACGGAGTGGCAAAAACTCATGGAAGTGGTGATTGGTTTGACGGATGGCTTTGTGCACGCAAGTGCCGTTGTCGTTTTGACTTTTGCCAGTGTGAAATGACAAGAGGAAAAATAGTTTTAGATGGAAAATCCAAGGAAAATCTGGAGAAAAATTGTGGAATACAGTTCTTCTTTCTGGTGTTCTTATCCTTTTGGACTGCACGCGCTTATCCTAAATTGAAGCAATAGCAGAAAATACGTTTTAGGAGAAGACTGGCTCTGTTCGAGCAAAAAAAATGGCTCGGGTCTTGGGCAACAAAGCGGTTCCGTTTTTGAGAAAGTCTGCCACCGATTCAAGGGAAATCCGTCACCGATTTTGAGGAAATCCGTCGCCGACTTTAAAGCAATCCGTCACCGACTTTGGGGAAATCTGCCACCGATTTTGGGGAAATCCGTCGCCGATTTTGAGGAAATCCGTCACTGATTTTGGGGAAATCCGTCACCGATTTTTGAAATCCACCACAGACTTTGGGAAAAATCTGCCACAGACTTTGGGAAAATCAGCCACCGATTTTGGGAAGCTCCGTTTTTGTTACCACTTTTGGGAAAAACATGCTCCGTTTTTGAGAAAAACAGTGTCCGTTTTTAGGAAAAACAATTTCCGTTTTTGGGAAAAACAAGCTCCGTTTTTGGGAAAAACAGTGTCCGTTTTTGGGAAAAACAGTGCCCGTTTTTGGGAGAAACAGGCTCCGTTTTTGGAAAAAACTTGCTCCGCTTTTGGGACAAAGTGGTTCCGTTTTGGTGCAAAACTGGCTTGGTGTTTTGATTGGCTTGGGACAAAGCTCAAGTCTCACAAGTTTGGGTTTGGATTTTCGAGGTTTAGGACTGGGTGTCTCCAAAACAAGTCAACCGGTAGCAAGTTGGAAGGGTAAAATGCTCAAACCTATAAACTTCGATGTTGAACCTGTTTTGTGTTAGGTACTTTTATGAAATGCCACAAGCACGAGCTGAATATACATAATTCCAATTGAGGATAAACATACTTAAACAAATATTAAGATATATAACTAACTATATACACAATATGCCTTGTTACTTTGTAAGCAACGGAGTTGAAATGTCAATGTCTAATCAAACCTTTGACTTTATTTGGAACGGTTTTGGCAACAAAGAACTCATTGACAGCGAAACGTCTTCTTCGTCTGAAGAAGGTGATAAAAGAGGTTCGTTTGTTGACAATGCTAAAAATGTCGAATGGAGAAAGCAGGACGACGGATACTACAACAGAAAACCGAACGACGAAACGTATTTCCAAAGATATTACCAAGACAAAACGAAACAACCGTGCGTATGCGATATATGCAGTTCTGACTTAAGTTGCAAATCAAACTTGGCAAAGCACAAGAAAACGAAGAAGTGCCAGAGGTTCTTGGTTTGAGTTCACTATGATTTTATGATACAAGACAATATCATAAAATTATAATCTAAGTATTTTTAATGACAAGATTGGAAAAAGAAAAGGTATTGGAAAGAATATACTACGACGTGGAGGACGGCTTCGGTTCGGTGAGGGACTTATACGAAAAGGCTAGGAAAGTCGATGTGGGCATAACTTTGGATATGGTATCTGCATGGATGAGGGCGCAACCCAACAAGCAAACAAGAAACTACAAGAACTACAATTCTTACACTGCTCCGTTTCCCAAGTATGAATTTCAAATTGACTTGATGGATGTCACCAGTTTGCTGCGAGACGTAGGTTCTGAATTCAAAAATCAACTACGATATGGTTTAGTTTGCGTAGATATATTCAGCAAAAAATGTCACATAGTCCCTATCGAGAATAAAGATGGTGATGACGTTTACAAAGCAGTCATGGAGTGTTTCAAGGTATTAGGTCAGCCTTTTTCGATTTACAGCGACGACGGAGGAGCGTTGAACAGCAAGAAGTTGCAAACCTTTTTTAAGGAAGAAGGTATAACGCACGTAATAACAAAGACGCATGCAAATCAGGCAGAAAGGATGATACGCACGGTCAAAAAAATGATTGGGGACAGATTGGGGCATTACAAAGCCAAAACATGGGTGGAAGTGCTAAAGCCCTCGTTGAATAGATACAACAACCAAGTCCATAGTAGCACCAAAACGACACCAAATAATGCGCACAATCTTGATAACGTAATTCAGGTCAGAACAAATCTGATACTGAAAGAAAAGCACAACAGAAAATATCCAAACATAAGTGAAGGAGATTATGTTAAGATATTTGATAAAGGAAAGGGCAACTATGTATCAAGGAAAGAAACGAGAAGTCAATGGAGCGAACGGAAATACAAAGTGATATTAGCTGGTCGTGATATGATGAATAATAGATACTATAAACTAGATGGAATGAGTAAAAGATATAATAGGCATGAATTATATTGGTTGATTAGGAGCTGTTCTTCTTTCTTCTGTTTTCGCCATTCTCTTCTTTTTGTATTTATTTTATCTTTGTCTCTTTTGTATCTTTCTTTTGTTGTTGTCCTATTTGCTTCCCTGTTTCCTTCTCTATACCTTTCATTCTTGTCATAACATGTGTCCTTTTTTTTGCAGCGTTTCTTTTTTCTCGTATTTTCTCTTTATTGTTATCGTGATGCTGTTTGTTTTTTCTTTGTATTTTTTGCATTCTCTATTCTAATATTTTTTACCGTTAAAGGTGATGCTCTCCAATGGCATCGCAACCTTCCTTTCTAGTCCTACCAGCAATACATTTGCTAAGACAGTTCTTATCATTTTCATTATATTCACCTTCTTTCTTTTCGGGTTGCTTTCTGTTTTGGCATGGGTATTCTTCAATAAGAACTATTTTACGGTTTTCAACATCGAACTCATCAAACGATTTCATAGGGTTAAGATGGCGTTTTTGGGGATTTGTATTGTTTAAGTTTATATAGATAAGATTTACAATCTCTTCTATGTCTTGCCATTTTTCGACTCAGTTATTCAGTTGTTGAATTGATATCCATATATCTTAAATCATTTTTTCGTTACGTAGATATTTTATGGCGTAATGTCCAAACGGGAGACTTTCAAAATCTGAATACCAGTAGCGTTTATTATCGTAGTTGCTTAAAGCATATTTAGTCTGACTAATGCTATAGATTTGATGGTTTTTACTTCTGATCCTGTTAAAACTGACTTCTTCTTTACAGTTTCTATTCAATGTCTCTTCATACGTTTCGTAACTTAACTGATTGCTCACTTTATGCTTGACTACTCCTTTACTTTTCTTGTGTTCTTTCTCATCACCATATACTTTATAACAATATGCCTTCGGTTTCAATCCTTTAAAGTGAGTAATTATTTTACCGTTCATTTCATCCTTGAATTTTCCTAATACCTTCTTGTTTGTTTTATCATAGTTTGGATGCTCTGGTGGATAATCACTGAAATCCATGTATTCATTTATTTCTTTGAAGTCTTCATATAAGTCATCAGTCTCAACTTTGATTACATAACTATCAGTATCAGTATATACCAACTTAATTTTATCATCATATTTTGGTTTCAAAACATCATAGTAAAACGAATACATGTGAATTTTAGAATAGTCCAACATAGACATACCCATATAAATAGGTTTGTTTAGTTCCACTGTATGCTTATCTTTTTCAACAATCACAAAGTCTTCATTTATGATATACCTGTGCTTGAATAATGGTTTATTTACCAGTTTTTGGAAGCGTTCAGGCGTATTGACTAACTCATACTCACCATGCTTTCTTACATTCTCCATGGTCTTGCCATATACACTGTTATTCATTAGCTTAAACAAATCTTTTTCAAAATCATTTTTGGCATTCTTTCTCTTTTCAGTGTTGAATTCAATGAATGGTTTTAGGAAGTTTGCTTGTTTAAAACTTATTGCCCTATGGACTTTTCTCAGACTTAATCCATGCTGTAAATAAAACTTCAATGCTGATATATGTAAAACATACTTCTTTTTATCCATCACATTTAATACTAACTTATTTGTCTTTTCATCACTGGCATCTTGTCCATAATAATATTTGTGTATATCCTTTTGGACTTGTGAAAGCATATTCTCATTGATACACATGATTTCAGGTGCTAGTGGGTAGTCTTTATGTAAATCATGAAGTTCCTTTGGATAATCTAAATCAACTTCTAATATGTATCCTATGTAATCATCATCACAATATTTCATTACTCTCTTTTCATCCATTCTACCGTAATGCCATTTAAAATCATCATAGGGAAGTTTCTTACACATTGCTAATCCGTAAAGATTATTAGCATCCAAATAACTTACGTACGCAGAAGGTTTAGATTTATCATAATCTTCATTCATGTATTTATTGTTTGCGTCTACTTTCTTAAAGGAGCACTGTGCCATTCCTCCTCTCAATCCATTTTCAATCATCTCATACATTTCTTTTATGTGGAGTTGTTGAAGTCTAACTCCTTTAATGATAAAA